GTAATTCTGTAATATATATATATATATATATATAGCTGAATTCAACGTGGACAGAAAACCGACGATTTTTTTCACACCGAAGTAGGGGAGTCAAACGAATTTATTCTTAAATTTTCTTTTATTATTGTATATATCAAGCGTATCACTTTATGATCGATACAGGTGGGTATCGCTGAAATATTCACATAAAGATTTCAATCAAATATTGTAAAATGTAAATCTGTTCCTGTTCATCTACAAACAAGATATAAAAGTTTTGCGTCATATATGTGCACGCCTGCGCAGAACACACATCAACTGTAGACAAATTGTCTTCTGTGTGAAGAAGTCACGACAGAAAAGGGCTATACCGTCAGCTAAACAGCGAAAGATTGGCAAATAAAACCCCGGATTCTGGTAAGGAAGTAACATTCCAGATGTTAATAGCATGAGCAAGCTGTGTATACTCTGATGGATTGTTGATGTTGTTTACTATGTAAGTAAGACTTAAAACATACATGACAATAGAATATACCTTATGTGTCTGACATCAAAATAAAATTAATTTGTTGTCAAAAGGATACTTTTTGCGTGTTGTAATTAAAAAAAAGTGTTAACGTATTTTGTCGTTACTTTCATTTGTCTCAATATCGGAATAGCGCAGAAACGTAACCGGAAGTGTATGCCATAGGCACCATTTTATTAAAAAAATCATTAATGCTTTACCGTGATGTCGCTTAATATATATGTGTATATGGGAATTAATTTCAAAGTGATTAACAAAAAAACACCGACAAAACCAACAAACTCAAAATATGATCGCCTTGAGGAGCTTCTGAACTTCTTATCGTAACGTGGAATGAGCACTTCCGAACCTTCGCCGTAATAAAAATATCATAACCACCAAAATAGTGTCTGTTTCATATCAATAATGATGTGCTAATAAATTCCAAGAATAGTTATTGTTATCGGTTGAAACAAACTTAGAATTTGGCATTGTAACAACTGTGTCCCCTGTGTGCACAGAATACATACGATGTGTTAATCCAAGGACCAGTCTCAGTAAGCATGTTATATTTAAGATTTTTTTCGTTTTCTTGTTTGTTTTGTCGGTCGCTTGTTAACTTTTTTTATCCCTAAAATCAGTTTCATTGTATAAATCATTTCAATTGTCTATGAATAATGAATACGTAAGGTTTTAAGTATCTGGTCTGTATACACGTATTATCTTGACAAGTGAACTGTATACAGACTGTCATCCCTTCACAGTAACTCCTTAAAAATTTCCAAAAAAAACCAAAAAACAAAAACAAAAACAAAAAATAATAATAAAATAAAATGAAATAAACACTAAAAATTACAACGGACATTCGGGTCACACTACATATCGAACAGGTGTGTCAAAACACTCACGTGCGACGTACGACCGAACATGTTTATCTCGTGCACCTAAGCGTATACATATAGTACACGTGTTTGGGTGTTCATGTTCTGATTTGTTTCACTAATTTGTTATCTATAGGACTGTTACAACATAAGTTTCTGTCCATGAAACTGTTGCCAACATCTGATAGATTTGTGATGAACATTAGTTCGACCATACCACGTGCATTTCAAACATTCTTGTCACGAACAATGTACCTCAGAGCATAAAGCTATGTCGGTCAAATGAAGAGAAGTGAAAAGATGGAAGATAGAAAAAACAACGTGAGTACCCCAGCATGTTCCCCCAGTCCAAAGTACACCTGTTTATATCATGGACAAATGGAGTGAATTTATCTTAATACTATAAACTTTAAATGTTTAAAACTTTTAAGTAGAACAGTGGTAAATAAAAGCACATGCCATCTGATTCTAATTTTTTACGATGTCAGATTGAATCGGTCGTATTACCTTGTTTCTCTACATTCAGAAAAATCACTTTTTTATTTATATGATATTAAAACGGTGTACATATTTCGTTATAGTTCACTTTCTATCTGCTTTCACCTGTTCAAATCAATTCTGATTACCAACAACGGGTTGCTTTTCATTAAAGACAAAGAGAAGATAGCAGAAAGGTATGTATTGGTAAGTATTGCAAATATTTCTTTCTGTAATTATACGTGTTACTGTTTTATGTTTGAAATAAAGAAAAATAAAACACTGGGATAGTGACGTTGATAACGCGAAATTTTCACAAGCCAAAGAGAAGTTATGAAGAAGATCTCAGTAAGTACCCAGCATGCATCCACTTCCCGCTTCCGGTTACCTAACAGTTCTGGTTTCTATAATCTATCCTTTTTTGTTATCTTTGTATGTAACCACACCCTCATATATTCAAACAATTGCTTGATTTTTATTTTTGGAGTGTGAAGAGCATTCTTGATTTTCATATTGTGCCATATGTTGGCATTCAATCACTAGAAAATGGACGAAAACAAATTCGTCTCGTCTGTCTTTAACCGAATTTCGTAAATATGTTTCCGTATCTTTTGAATTCGGCAACATTTTTTTTTTTTTTTTAGGTTTATGAAATATCGTCCCATACACCTGACTGTGTTACTGTGAAATAATAGCTCATAATATGTATCATGTAAGGATGGTGAATGGATGGATATGAAACTTCGGCATTTTTCCTCTGTTTTTGAACAGTTGAAATTGTTAATATTGCATATCGATACAGTCGTAAGCTCGCCTAGGACAGGGGAGGCTAATGGAGTCATTTCGACGTCGTAGGCGTCCCACTTCAGGTCAAAGTGTATGAATGTAAAAAGTTCAAAGTGCTCTAGATCACCATATATTTATGCTGCATCATATTTTCATCGGAATTATTAAAGGTTCCGAAATAAGTAATTCCAAATCATCAGTAGTTCATGTCAACCAAAAAGATGCAGGATTGTTACTGAAAGTGAGCCGCATGGCTAGTCATACTGTTATACAGTATCTTATAGTCTTAAATAGAGAATAATCTAATAACTTGTAATTATATATGTATTTAACAATTGTGTCTAATATTATAACATCTTAAAACATGTGTATCTCTGAAACAGATAAATATATAAAAATTTACTACTTGTGATGTTTCGGTTGTTTTTGTATGTATAATTGAATGATTGAATAAATTTTGTTTAAAGAGCCAGACCCACTCCTTTATAGATATATTTCATATTTTATTGACTGGATATGTTGTTGTTTACTAATAGATGATATATAAATAAAGACTTGTATAAAGTTTCGAACTTGAAATTGAAAGGGTATCGGAGATATTGGTGCCGGAATTAGTCTCATTAATCAACACCAGGATATAAATATTGATGAGGAAAAGTCATGTGATACGTTAAGACGCGGTCAGAACCAAAACAAAAATGGAGGAAGAGATGAGTAGTACGTCCATGTGACATCGCTTGTAAAGAGATTTTACCGATAAATGCAATCAATACTCTATATATCCTGTATGGAAATCATCTAACGTATGCCATGTTGGAAGACGGCAGATTTATTAACTGTTCTTTGCGCATGCGTCAGAGGGCAGGACTTCCCGCATAATTATGAATTAGCACCGGGTCGTTTCGAATTCTTTTTAAAACTATTTATTACGTTAGATTGGTAGCGATTTACTTTTGAATTGCGGTATTACAGGGTTAGTCTAAACTTTTTGCTACCCGAGAAAAATAGAAATCATGAATATCGGTCGAGGAGTGGGTCTGGCTCTTTAAACCAAGGCATACATGTATTTTGTATAGAAAGATCATGCTGTCAATTATTCCCTTTGTCAGCCAGTACATAATATATATAAACTAAGTAGGTTGATGTTTACCATTTTATTAAACAAACCGAATATCTAATTAAATCTTTATAAGGTAGATAACTATTTAACACATATAGGAAGCATGTAAAAGCAAGCTAGATAAGGATGCAGTCGGGCATAATGTGCTCTGTTGCTCAGTTTTTTTCAATTTTGAATAATGACAAATTTTATTCAATATTTATTTTCCTCATTATTAAAGACTCTGAAAACAAATTCAATGTGATATATATTATAACTTAATAACATTCAATATTTTATTGTAATATAAAATACTGATATGTGCGCGATGCTGATTCAGATATACCGAAGACTGTTTTGTGGAATCGGTGGATACTTTGTTATATGTAAATAGAAAGTAACAAGTACATGCGTACCTTGTAATCAGAAAACATATTTCAACGACTATGTATGATTTCCTGATATAGATTATCACGAATATTAACGATTTTCTGAGATAGGTAATCAAAATATTAATGATTTTCTGATATAGGTTATCACAAATATTAACGATTTTCTGATATAGATTATCACAAATATTAACGATTTTCGGATATAGGTTATCACAAATATTAACGATTTTCTGAGATAGGTTATCACAAATATTAACGATTTTCTGATATAGGTTATCACAAATATTAACGATTTTCTGATAGAGATTATCACAAATATTAACAATTTTCTTATATAGATTATCACAAATATTAACGATTTTCGGATATAGGTTATCACGAAAATTAATGACTGATATAGGTTATCACAAATATTAACGATTTTCTGATATAGATTATCACAAATATTAACGATTTTCGGATATAGGTTATCACGAATAACGATTTTCTGAGATAGGTTATCACAAATATTAACGATTTTCTGATATAGATTATCACAAATATTAACGATTTTCTGATAGAGATTATCACAAATATTAACGATTTTCGGATATAGGTTATCACGAATATTAACGATTTTCTGATATAGGTTATCATGAATATTTACGATTTCGTTATAAAGGTTATCACGAATATTTACAATTTCGTGATGAATGTTATAACGAATATTTACGATTCCCTGATAAAGGTTATGATTATCATGAATATTTACGATTTCCTGATGTAGGTTATCACAACTATTTACTATTCCTAAATAAAGGTTATTACGAATATTTATGATTACCAATGTGTATATCAATTCAAACTATTATATTTGAAATCCAAGTAGGATAAAAGTGATCTTAAAGCCAATCCATGTTGCCGACACGCTTTATAGTTGACATATCGCCATACTTCCTTGAGAGATGGATAAGACGACTTTTGTAATCAGAGATGTCGATGAAGCAGCCCTGAAACGTAAGATGGAATTAATATAGCAACTGTATTATAATTTTCTCAATATCTTTTAATGACAATTATTTATCTAAATAATAGTGTTATTGTGGTAATGGTACTTATTCATCATCTGAAAGTATAAAGTGCAGTAATGTTCGTGGGCGAATAAAGAATCGTTTGATTCCAGAAGCAAAGCACGCCATGATTTTTTACTTTTCGTGTATTTTGTCTATTTCCACATATATCATAGACGTGACGTTTATGAATCGTGCAATTGTTTTACCTATAATGATAGAGAGCTAACTTTTAATTGTTTTTAATTAGGTCTTTTACAGAATTAAAGACTGTATCTGACCAGTTATGAAGAAACAACAATGCTTTATGAGGCTTCAATTGAAATGTCTCGCAGGTATGTAGGAGACTGAAAATCTCACTTACACTTTTGCGATTTTGAATAAAATAGTGTTGGTTTACCTTCAAATGGCGATCACCATTTCCAGCTGTAAATGCTTTTCTATTGTGCACCATTCTTCTGTTGTTGAAGACAAGGATATCTCCAGGCTTGAGACGAATTTCAGTCTAAATTTGGTTAAAATGAAGAAGACTCCAGAAACACAGACAATAGTATTTCTGTAAAATACCCTGATTTTCATAACGATATACTGCGAATGTATTACTAAAATGGCACTTACATACCGATAAAAAAGTGTATGTGGTGTTATATACTGGGGTACAATAGTAAGTATATATAGATTTTAGTAAAAAAAATGCGTGAATGATCAAAGTTACTTCATTGTATAATTGAATGTGGTTACGCAATACATTTTCTCATACATGTTAAGTACGTGTTAAATATTAATGCCAGAAATATCTGTTATCCTTAGCTTTAATTTAACTTTTACACTTCCGCATATGTTAATCGTATGTGTCTTCCTTAACCATACATAATTAGATATGAGATGTCAGACAAGCATAGAATGTTTTTGTTCTACTCGCTGCGATGACTGTTTCCTTATCTGACTGGTAGGAAAGCGGATTCAAAAACGTTTTGAGCAGTCATTTGACAACTGATATGATTTATTAGATGAATTGTACTGTGAATTAGAAACCCAACTTACTTTGGTATGAAAGTTTGAAATGGCTCTAGCAAACAGCTGGTATGCCCGATAATAATCCGTCACTTTATCCTGAAACACAGGAAATATTATAAAAAATATGTAACTTGGGTTAGATGGGAGTTCACATTTACAGGTATAATTATGTTAGTTTCTGTCTATGAATTTTGTATAGTTGAGAAAATAAATAATTGAATTGCATTGAAATTTTCAATAACTGTCTCACCCTTGGAGCCTCAAATGTATGAACTCGCTTTGATTATGGAACACTCCAATGATCTGACGAAAATATCAATATTTACTTCCAGTTAAATCAAGCTTCCGTTATTTAGAAGACGTTGGCTCACCTCTGCAATTTCCAACACACCAGCTGCACTTGGGTTCCAGTAAATTCCAATTATCTAACAAAGACATAAACGTGATAAATAAAATTGATATAAAGAAAACGCGTCATGAAAAGGAGTGAATGAATTTACCACATCCTCTACACTACACTTGATAAGTTTGATTGTGTGAAATGAACCGTAAAGTGTATTTGACTTTTCGTTTTCCAGTTGGTTGTCATATAGGTACGGATATTCCGCTCAAGATATACGGTATTCAATAGACAGGTGTTTGGTTCTATGTATGACAATTTTGATCCTTATTTCAAACTGCTATAACTACATACGATACGATATTGTATTTCGGATTATTGATGTGAGAATAATCGCTAGTGGTTTCTATTAAACAATTATACAATTTTTAATTTTACATTAATGAAATAAAAAAAGCCGATTCATACCTCTTCATCGTGGTTCAGTTGTATAACTGGTCGTTTCATTAGCAAATGAACAGGCCTCTCTCTTAAAAAATGATAAAAATGAAAAAGAATTTCACATATATTCCAATACAATTTGTAAATCAAACAAGCTCATAGTATTAACCTACAAGAATCGGAAATCTATGACACATCAGACTTATTTACATAAACAATAACCTCGGGATTTACTTTGAACAATATCGACGCGGACTCATTACCACTGAGCTCTACGGCCAGTGTAAAGATTTATTTTCCTATTGTGATTTTTCGTATTTCTAGATACTTTTACATGTGTTTACCTGTTTAAGTTCATTTGCTTCCTGGTCACTATTATTTAAGCTAGTTGCAACACCGACATTATGTTCAGTCATCATCAATATAAGATGGTAGACACTTTCCAGTGAAAATATTACTTGTTGCATAAACTCGCCTAGAATAGGTTTTTTTCTTACAGTATTGTAAATACATTTCTTACACATGTATTTAGGGTGACATTTAAGTTAAATCATCTACACAAATAAGTAAATACAGTTACGATAATACCTTGAAAAATGATCCCTTGAAAATGGCGATGGAATAGTGCAGAGCGTCTTAAACTCTTCTGGGTTTGTTTCTCTAAATTCTTCACACACCGCAAACATATCAACGAAGTTGTTTTCTCCCCCAATAAGGCTTTCATCAAATCTTCAACAGAAATATAGGATAGATTTTTCTATTGTACGAATACAAAAACATCACTGTACGTTTGATTTCCTGTCATGTCTGCAAATTATTGATGCATTTAGAATTGACATGTAAGATCTAAAACATTGCATTATATTACCTGAAAATTGACAACTTAATCACTTCTTCTTGAATAACAGTTTGATTACAAGTAAACATTTGCGACTTTAACCATCGGAAAACCTGCTTATTTGGTACGTAAATAAAGATAAGTTTGTGGATTCGTATTCTAAAAACACCAAAGATCGAATGCAAATTGCGTCCAGGAATGATGGGACAACTATTAGACTCTTTTATATTGATGTCACACTAACATGTAGTAACATATTCACATGATACATCAGCTTGATATATACAGACCAACACCTAACCAGGTGCTATCTAATGTCAGGCTGAAAGTAGTGTGCACCATGTTACAGTTGGCGTTGGTGTTTTCTTGGTTTTTATGTACACCATTTAAATTACTTTGGTATACAAAAGCATTACAGCATTTACTTAAGACAGTGATGAACGAGCAGCCCAGGCACTGACTCATAGTAAACCAGATCCATGTGGAATTGTAATTTTCTGCGGGTATAGGCAAGATTGGTTGGATCTCTCATATACATGACGTCATAAATCTGAAAAGAAAAGACATTGCCGTAGCAAAGTCGATTAGTTGAATATCAAAATCGCATTATACGGAAAAGAACATTTATTGTGTTGTCGTCATCGCATTGCTTTGGTCATAGTACAGCTAAATTTTAAATGCTTTTACTAATAGTTTAAAGTGTAAATCAATATCAGTAGCAAAACATGAAATCACATCGATCGATTTACATAACGAATATTATCGGCATTAACGGCAGCTGGACTCGAAGTCCCCCCTCCCCCCAAATAGTAGACGTTAATGATGCGTATTAAAATGCTGCATTATAGGCATTAAAAGTCTACGCAAACCTGATGTGCGGCACTAAAACTTTAAGTGATAAATTTGACAGTGGCAAGTAAGCAAGGAGTAGGACAATGTTTATTTTCACAATTTAAAAAAAAAGACTAAAAACAAAAAAACAAACAAAAAACAAAAAACAAAAAGCAAAACAAACAAACCAACAAAAAGCAAAGAAACAGTGGTGCTTAACTTACCCCTTTGTATATTGTCCATTAACCAATGATGTTTTCAACAGGGTATCTACTATACATACAACTAACTATCAACGTAGTTCCTTACCTTTCCATATGAATTCTCAACCAATGGTGCAATGTGTTTTGGCAGGAACTAAAATGAAGATATATGTATAGGGTTTCAGATATCATGTACCTTAGTATCACTGACAAGTCCTGCAAGTACGAAACAGGTCTATAATGTAATTAAGTTAATATTAATTTATTCACTTTGTTATAAGTGATATTGACGGTGTTATTTTCTTCTGTGTTTTGTATAATTGTATATATAAGTATATACGTATAAAGTAAAAAGTTAAAAACAGATCACGAACATGATGACGAATTAAGATGCTTATAACATCAGAATGAAGTCAAATACATCTACTTAAAAAATGTATGAGCGGTTGCGAGATTCCCCTCACCTCGAGTAACAGGTCATCTTTTACTGGAGCATCTCTGATCAATGCAACGCCATGCTCGTTGACATACTTCAGCAACCTAGAAAACACATAGTCAGCAGATTTAAACCTTCCGTATATATATTTCAAATGTTGGTCAATAAAAATTCATTATAGATGTATGTGTAATGTTTTAAGTCGTTCAACAAAATTTTAAGTAAGCTTAATGTAAAAAAAGCAGTTATTGGACTGAAATGAAGAGAAGAGTAATTAACTGGGAAATAATTTTACTTTACTGATTAAGATATATCTATCTGATAAACATAATCGTCATGGTAGAATTTATACCACCAAAAGATTACACATAGTTACAACACAATAACAGAGTTAAGTAAATACCTGTACACGTTCTGCTCATCGGCCTCACAGTCAGCATAAGTGACACTCAGCAAAGTTTCCTGGATACAAAAGAAAATAGGAGGCATGCAATATGTACAATATTACCATAGGGTATATATTTTCACTGTTTTCATTATGACGTCACATGAATTATTACGTCACAAAGTAAACGTTACGGAGTGAGAATATTGCTTAATTGCAGACTGTCTAATCGAAGGTTGTTTTCTTGCAAATTTCCAAACGTTCTTGTGTCTAGATTAAACAAATCGTTTTCATTTGATAAGAGATTCATAATCACAAAGGTAATGAAGATTTGTGTATATAAGTTCCTTAGTGCTTTAATCGATTGTAGTTCATAAATTAACAAAATTGGTAATTGAATTAGCTGAAGAGGTCATTATGAAAATATGTCCTCTGCGAACAAATAGATAATATGTCTTAATAATGTTTCTATGCCTACATAAAACATTCTGTTGACTAGATTTTATAAAAGGTAGGACGTAAATCTATTTGCATGAATGGTGACGCTTATTTACCCTTTCTAAAAAAAAATGCTTGTAGTATAGCTTTTTTTATTTCACGAGGATAATCTGGTTCATGAGGGTTGAATTTCACTTGTGAATATGTATCCAACACATGAATGATACAGTTCCCTTATCAACACGTTTGATGTACAGTGAAAATGATTACTGGGTATTTAGTTGCGTTATATTTATCGACCGCAAATATGACATATTAAATCAAGATGTGTTTATGAAACTCCATGACCTCTGTTGCAACAAACTTCTGAAGTGGGACATTAAAACTGTACTGTGTAAGGCATATGCTAACTGCATGCACACATTGTAAAACACTTATGTCTGTTTTTTTATTGCTTTCAAGTATAGGTCTATGTTCTGTTTTTTTTTTCAAATGAAATCGAAGTTCACGGTCAAGCTCATGTTGAACAATTTTGGCTCCTACCTGTGACGGTACAAGAGTTATGGACAAGGTTAAAGTTGACAATAGACAAACAAATAAACAGACAGCACAAAAAAAATGTGTCCCCTATCTTCCGATCTAGGAGCTTCCAGCGAATATGACCAACTACACATCATTATTCGTGTCAAAGATACATTTTGGTTGGCATTTCCCATTATTTTAGATTTTATTTGAAAAACGGTTTATGGAAATTTTCACAAAAACAACACATAAGAGTGATAAGTAAACCTTAACATTTACCTCTTTGTATAGTAACGGCTTCGTTGCATCTTTTTTCTGCTTCAAACTAAGTTCCGAGTAGCAAGAATTTCTCAGAAATATTGAGCTAAACTCTCCTACATGGCCGTCATCCCATTGTATTCTCACTTTGTCATTTCCATTTTCTGTAACGATCATGTACGTTATCTATTGAAAATAACTTTAGTATTGACACGTCCGAAAAGGCTTTGCATTGTATTTGAATGTAATCCCGAGCTTATCAGAAGGTTATCATTGATAAAAATAGAGGCCCGCAGAGCCTGTATCGATCACATGGTTTTGTTTGGCTGAGATTATTATATCCAAACTGAAGGAATAAAAAAAAATCTTTTATTTCCTTTCGGGATCCCAACAACCTGTCCAAGGCGGTCAACACAAACGCTTGTATACAAGTCTCAACCTAATGTTTTAATTGAAATGTTGGCAAAACATTTGACATTTCTGCAATAAAACGATGTTAAAGAAATTACAAACAGTTGTATATTTCCCATTTTGGCCCAGCCCTTCAGAACTTTTGGATCCAGACTCAAACCAAAATCGACATACCAACATCCGGAGCATTCAACCATTATTTAGTATCAGTTTGAAACAGAAAGAACATCAAATGAATCCCTTACCTTATTTCACACCTAATTTGGCTGAAATCCCAGCGGGGTTTTAGCAAATCTATCTTTTGGGCCAAACCACTGTCCCAAATTTCTCCCTTTATTATCATTAAAGTGTTGCTGGTTGTCTTACCTGCTATTATGACGTCCGTAACTTTGATGTCAAGTGGCAACATGTCTATCTCTATCAATACCTGCTTGGTGGCAGCCGAAACACATTCTGCACATGAACAGTGATGTCGCAACCACACTGCATGGTATCTAAGAGTGTAGATGCGTATGTTTCAGCATTCTTCATTAACTTTTTACTAATGGTGGAAAAATGTTTTCAATGTAACACCTAAAACTACAGTTTCCAAGAAAACTTTCGCCCCTCCAGATCCTTAGTATAATGTCACTCCACCCGAACTACAAACCGAATGTCACCCCATCCGGACACCATAGCCAATTATCATTGGATGGTCTGGAAGTGCTGAAATCCACTTACACCCTGGCAAGCGGTTCTTGATTTCAAATAGCGTGTATGTGAAAAGTCATACCCTCCTTGCCAGGGTCAGGTTCATGAACATTTATCATGTACTTTCTAGCTATTCCATTTCTTGTGCAATATGAAGTTACCTGCATTGAATCCTCGTTAGGATGTCTGGTGATTTCGCTGTTGTTAGCATTGTTCTCATTAAGGACCACAACAATATTTGCTTTGATTGACCAAAACTGAAATGACGGGTGTTGTTGATAAACCAGACAACGCTTACCTTTCTTGCAAACCTGATCATATTTTCATTCTACTATTTATAATCTTCTTTAATAACTATCCTTACTTCATCGACGTAAGAAAATTTTTCAAATGTCGAAATTTTCTGTATTATTTTTATCTCTAAATAAGAAAAGAAGATCCGGAACCTTCCTCACTTGGAAAGAAGCACAACGCATATGACGATTTTGTAGACCGTTACATAGGACACAACACAGCAATGTCAACGTTAGGATGGAGTAGTATGGAAAACCATTAGTAGATTACATATTCATTTGTATTATCAGTCTTTGTTCGACCTTCGGTCAAAAATGAAAATACATGTTAATCATATATGAACAAATGAAAGACTTACACGGAGACTCCTGGAAAAGTAAAAGGAGAATAAGACCAGGTGTTCCAAAGGAATAACTGTCTTCTGCTTCACTTATGACACTGCCATTTAAATATTGGTCAATCCAAGTACATATGTAAGTAATGTCACGTTTGCAAATGAGAGCATAGTATACAACAATGGAACCAACATTAAAATAAAGATACGATAGTCAGTTCAGTTCAAAATGTAGAATATATTTACAAATAAATAGATATGTAATGAAATGAGATTTTCACTCGTGCCATTTGTACAACATGTACAACTCTTTTCTTTAGTAGACATATATTGTAATAAACTGGTATTGTGTCTTCCTAATAATGTTTATAATGTAATTCTGGAGAAGGCATAAAGAGGGTAATTGGGGATGATTTGCTGTATATTTCAGCGTCAATTGACACCGGGAGGGGGACCATGCTGAAAGCCGACAGGCTGATACGGTCAATACATTAACTGGGGAGTTTGACCTTAGGTCAATGGGACTGTCACGGCTTCAGGGTTATTCTTAATTATGTGTGTGGTAGGGGCAAGGGGATAGAGGGAAGTTTCTCTTTGGAACTGTCCACGTAAACTTAGCTGACGTCAATTAACTAAGGGATGTTGATCTGTACTAATATAATATGTATTGTATAAAGTGTAATAAACCTGTAAATTGAACTTAAGCGGATGTGATGCATTTCCACTGACTGCTGATATATATCCATCCGGTCACGTTTCACTATATATATATATATATACATTATAAAATCCTTATGATGCTAATACATTTTACAATTTACATTGAAGAAAACAAGTTACGTTAAATACGATAAGTTTGTCATTGTCTGACCTACATACCTAGATGTTTTGCCGTCATCCCACATAAATTCTATTTTCCGTCCGTCATTGATAACACTGACGTTATCAGCAAATGTGTCAGAGACAGGATTCTGTAATTGATGATAGGCAAGCTGAGAAAATATCACTGCTAAGCTTGATTCATTAGGGTATTAGTAAAAGTTATTAATATCATCAAACGTGGACCACTTAAGTGAAACAAAATTATACGTACCTGCGAGAAAAACATTTGATGACGATGAGAATGTCGCAGTATAAAACAGGTCTTGTATTGTGAAATATGAGCAGATCAGCTCCAATGAAAACTCCTAAAATAAAGTTTTGATTTGATTTATAATAGTAACGAAAAACTCTGCTCATGGATACAAGACACATACATGTGTAATCGGCTTTTATGACAACATATACGTAGAGGAGCAAGACCAAACAACGGAGATTTAAATCTTTAAACCACTTTTCCAAGTTTACAGTACAGACTTTGAAATTGATTCTCCATCAATATCAAAGAGGCAAAGTATTATCGGTAATTCGCCTTCACTAAAAAGAAATTATGACAGTTTAAATATTTTGCGAGAGCATATGATATCCACCCTAAACAAAACAATTTTTGAATGTAGTTTTTAGTAAAAAGCTACGGTATCGAATGCTTTCATATCCTGTGGAAACACCTTTCCAGTAATCAAGAATTTAGTTATCAAAAAGATATTTAGGATTCGTAGTTTTGCTTTAGAAATCATCTCGTATAAATTTAAGAATTAGTCATCTCTATAGCAATGATGCAATTTGCACGTGAAGCATTTCTCGCTCAAGTCCGTGCTTCATTTTTCTAATACCGATAAGCGGTATTTTCTGGAAATGTTTTTAAAAAACAACTTCTTCAAATACATTCTTAAGTGTCTGGAAATATTACCATCGCTGTCTGCACACTGCAGATGCTTTCTAAAGTAAGCTCCGTTCACGTTTCGTGTCTTCTCTACATTAGTGGTTTTGCATGAGAGTGCATTAAAACGTTTGCTCTTCCAATTGACTCAATGTTACATACTAAATTACTTTTATACAAATGAAACAAAGATGAACAAGCAATGGTTTATGGCACGCTATATATTGAGAATGGCCTTGGTGTTTTAATAAATAAGAATGCATAATGAATAAACTAAATTACTGTATAGCGGCAAGGACAACATAATATAGAAAACAGATTTACCTTACAAGACTTTCTAGAGTTGAGCTGGTACAACTTGTCAGCTCCCGGGAATACAAGGCTTCCTAAGGATATAGTCTTACTGAGGTGATTTGCAAATTCATTCGAGATTTATAGTGCTCGACAACTCCAAATTTAGAAATAGATATTACAAGATGAACGTTAAACAGATGGAGGCGTCACGGGTAACAAACATGTATCAGCAAACATCATACAACATGACCTGGGCGGGATATTCATGACCACTGACATGAACTTTGATTTGACCTTTTATTCAAAATCTTAGCTGGCAAGCTCGTACATGCTTAACCACTTAAGGATTAACGATGTTCATTAAACAGCATTAAACATAAGATGAATTCCAATGTTATATCTTAGACTTTGGTATTTGTATATACATTGTTATAAATAGTTTTATCTATAAGCTGAAATATCAGTCTTGGTATGATTAACATGGCATGAACTACACTTTTTAACGGCGTAATTTGATTGAAGGCTTAAGCAATTTAAACGTCTTTTGATCGATAATGTATTTCTCTTCTTTATTATTCCAGGAGTTTTGGTTGGATTTCAACTAAATTTGGCTTTAATTATTATCACAATTAAATCTTACACGTTCGTGAACACCGACTGGGTAGACCGCTTTGAAAAAAAAATGACTTATTGAGTAAAAGTTACAAAGCAATCACCTCTTCTCTAATTAGAAATTCCAATATGAAATTTTCTTCTATCGATGCACGAAGACTCAATAAAGATTCACTTAGAAAATAGTTAAATAAACGGCTGAATGCTAATAATTTGGTTGCTATGTATTGTTCAGGTCAATAAGTCAAACGAAAGTTTAGCATTTCCATTGTTTTTCTTATCACTGAAATATTATTCTCATAAATATTGACAAAAAAGAAGTTTATTTTTATAGAGTGCTTCAAAAATGACAAAAATGCTTTATATTTAGATCAAAACAACATGTGATAATTAATTGTTCCGTTACATATATTCTGAAGCCGGTAATAGAAAAAAATGAAACGACATATTGTTTATCTTATTCTAGATTTTCTTATTAAATGTAATCTTTCAAAAACCCATTTCCAGAGCAAAAGTTAAATTTGATAAATTTTGCCTACCACACATACACACATCATTAAATTCCATGCAAAAATAAGTCATATAATCTCAATATAAATTTTCACCTTTTTCCAGCAAACATTTGAATGTCAAAAATCCAATATTTAACAAAGAGATCCCAAGGGGTCTTGATGCTCATCATCATTTGTTCTTTGGTAATTGTTTTCCCCTTCTATTCTCTTTTTTCCTGTTTTGCTTTTAAGTATATGAAATTTGAAAATAGGAATGATGACTTTTAACTGAAAGGGACTTCTAGGAACGAGGAGAAACTATAAATGAATTATGAGAAAATCCAAGTATTTATCACGATACAGAGCAGAGTATCAAACAGATTGTATTAAGTCTGGGTATTGGGAAATTTTGTCATTTTAGTCTTCTTTACCCTTTTTTACCTGGCCCATCAAGCTCCTAGCGCATAGACCATATGATTTATTGGTGTTCCTAGGGGTTTTGGTAAGACGTGTATGGTTTTATCAATTTGTTATGTCCTCTCTAATGGCATGACAAACTGAATAACTTCGATGGTACATCTAGGGCATTAATAATATTCGTATTTTTTCTCGCGCGCCTGACATTTTATTTCGACTGTCCGCTCGTCATATTTTATCGAATGCTCGACAGCGATGTTTAAATATTACCTATACACTCTATTGTGCAAAACACTTTTTATTAAATTCATAGATTAAAAAATAAACAAATATACAAAATGATGTGATGACAACTACAAACCATCAAACAGTCTTAACAACAGATAAAATATCAATGGTTCGATAAGATATGTAAAGGGTTTGTCGAGCGCTCGAGAAGATATGTCGACCGCCCGAAACAATATATAAAACGCTCGAGAAAACTAATATTGTTTATTTGTCCTGAATGTATCACCGTAAATAACAGGATAACTGCAATGGAATATTCTAGTGGTCAGGTTTTCTTTGTCATGCTTGTCCTCCACCTTCATTTCAATTTGAACAACTAGATGCATAGACAGAACAAAATGAACTTTATACACTCTAAATGTGATAATTAAGGGCCTTCTGGACATACATACGCGAAGATACGCAGAAATCAAAACCTTATTATATTATGACTTTTGTTTCTCTACGTGACTGGGGAAGAAAGTTACCTGATAAAACAGCCACCTGTTTGTTTTCATTAGTACTGTTTGTGCCTAGATGATGCATATTTTTAGGTCAACGGAGTGGAGTTCAGTAACCTTTTATTATTTGTCATCCTCATCCGTTCTCAACATCCCATTCCTCTCTTCTTAAACACCTCTTATGTGTTTGCAGTTATATTTTGCAGAAAGGTTCTGTAGCCAATGACAAACCATGATTGCATATTCTTTCATTGTAATCCCCCATCGACCCCAGAGTCAAGCCGAAGTAAAAAAAAATATTTAAAAAAAAAAAGAGAAAAACAAAAAAACCAGAAAAAAAATCTTCAAAATACTGAGATATTGTAGAATGAAATACTCTCCTAACACTATCACACGTGGTTCTAGGATAATCCAAAAGTCGTGTTATCACTTCTAAGTAATACAGTTCATCATTTAGGCCACTGGCCATAAACTCAACAACACCATGTGTAAGTTTAACATACGAACAACTGATGTTATTACTTCCTTATTCGAGTGTTACAAGCAAGGGAACGTAATCACAACACTCAAAGTCTGTATGTTTACACACCACTAGCATTGCATTTCCCTTCCTTAAAAAAAGTAAATTTAACTTTAAATTTAACTGAATTACCAGTTCAAACTTATTCTTGATGCACTTTATCAAGCAAAATAAATGACTGTTTCTAAAATTGAATAAAGCAACTTTATGAAAAAGATCAACTTCTTAACCAGTTCTCTTTCGAAACACCGACTAAATTACACTACATCTCTTCAATGAGACGATTTGGCCATCTAACAGTTCTACCCGATTTTGTCACCATAGTTGGTTCATAATACTTTAATGGGGTCCCAATGTCATCATCATCATCATCATCATCATCATCATCATCATCATCATCATCATCATCATCAAATTTAATCTCTTGATGGATCATATCATTACCATCGGTATCAGGTATTGTTACCGTTTCACGTTCCACACATTTCAGAATGTCTTCGATTTCGACGATATGAGTTTTCAGAATTAGTTTCGACCTGGTGTGACCTCAGGGATACTTCCTCACGGACTACTGCCTTTGTAGACCATGTACTATCACGACTGTCACGGATCCTCACAGTGTTCCCGCGATCCAAGGGGTATAACTCCCGAACATTTTTGTCATAATAGAACTTTTGCCTGACTTTATCCACAAACTTTTCCTTTTTAAACTGTTCTTACGACTGTGACTTGACCAATAGTTGACTGTCAACAATTGGCAGATTTGACCTGGCTTTCCTCGAATGGAGAAGCACAAACGGTGATTTTCCGTGCTTTAATGGTGTAGTTCTGTAGACCAATAATATAATGTAGAAATCACTTCCGTCCTCTCGTGATTTCTTGAAAAGACTTTTCACAATGCCCTCACTCAGCCAGTCCATTTAACTGTAGGGAGTTGGGACTGGATGTAGTATGCTTGCAATCATAGTTCCAAGCAAGCTCTCGAAACTCACTTGACGTAAACTTGGGACTGTCGTCACTAAGGACTTCTTTGGGGACTCCCTGATCAGCAAACGTATATTTTATGGCATTAATCATTGACAAAGCATTCAAGCTTTTGTAAGGGACACACTTCTGGGTAGTTTAAATAATAGTCACATATCACAAGGAAATTGTCACCTTTAAGCGTACAAATATTAACGCCGACCTTTTTCCCAAGGATACTCCACCACATTACCTGATGTGCTCGTAACCTGCATTTAGCTATACCCAAATGCCCGAGTGAATTTTCTCTAACATTTTCTTTCGGAGACTCCTCGGAATCACTACCCGATTGTTCCTCAAGATCACACCTTCTACAACACTCAGTTCATCCCGGATGTTCCAGTACTCTAGAACGGCTGACGAACACCCAGTATCTGGAAATTCATTGACGATGGTTTCTATTAGCACTTGTAGATCAGGGTCTTTACCGGATTCACGTCTGATTTCATCCATTTTCCTGTCCGATACAGGAATACTGTGCATTACGAAGTCTACGTAAGCATCAACTTCCGCCTCACCAGAACGTTCGTGCAGAGTTTCTGTCGACTCGTACGCGCGCGACAAAGCATCTGAAGTATACATGAACTTGTCTGGTGTGAATGTAACATCCAATGTTTATTTCTGTAGCCGTAACATCAATCGTTAAATGCGCATATGACAGTCATTCAGCGCCTTCCTAAATATCGCGATAAGCGGTTTGTGGTCTGTTTCGACCTGTACTCGCTGACCATTTATGCATTGGTGAAATCGTTCACAGGCGAAGGTAATGGCAGGCATTTCCTTTTCAATTTGTGCCTGATAGTTCACCATTCCTAAGAACCGTTGAACATCTTTCTTACACTCGGGCGTTTTGAAGCTTTGGTTGCTCGGACTTTCAATGGATCTGGTTTCATTCCTTCAGCAGACACGACATCTCCTATGAATGTTAATGACTGTACACCACAGACATATTTATTCTTGTTGAGTTTCAAATTTGACTCTTGGGTAGCCTCTAGGACTTCACTTAGCCTCAGGTTGTGTTCTTCCAGAGTGCTTCCCCATTTGATGATGTCATCCATGATCGATGAAGCTCCTTCGACGTGATCAAATATCATATTGATTGCCTTGTGGTATACCTCTGGAGCTGAGGATATTCCGAATGGTAACTGTAGAAACGTGTACCTGCCGAATGGTATATCAAAACAGGTTAGCTTTGATGAATCGGAATCCAATTTCATTTGCCAGAATGCCAGAATTCTCAAATATGTTACATGATATTGAACACCCACAGGGGAGGCATTTATCAATGAAAAAACACTGTTGCAATTTGTACCCTAGTAAGTCATAATCACCTGGGTATATTGGTAATAACCTAAAGGCAGACTTGACATCCATTGTTTCTATCAGTGCCCCGGTCCCTAGACCACTGATCATTTCAATGACTTTATCAAAACTAGTATACTGGACTTTCCTGAACTCCTGACTTATCCAATCGTTAACACTGTTGCCCTCTGGGAATGACAAGTGTGAAATCCTTATCCAACTCCCATCACTTTTTGGCACTAAGCCAATTGGTGAGATCCTCAAGTTTGAAACTGGTGTCTCCCTAAATGGACTTGCAATTCTACCCAGTTTAATTTCTGCATGTTATTTTCCCATAGAACGTTTGGATGTTGGTTTGCTGAAACTAGATTGTTACATGAATATGGAAGCTTTGGGCCAGAGTAATGCACCCTAAAACCTTCAACAAAACCAGTTAACAAGTAGTCTGCTAGCTTCCTGTCTGGATAATTTTCAAGCATGTGGGCAAAACCTTTACATTTGTTGGGGTATTTCGTCTCTGCCACAAATTAGCGCCTACTGAAATAGGATCTGAAATCATGAAAGTAGATTTTTAACCTTGGTAAGGACACATAACTCATTTATTCATCTATTTATTATTATTGTTATCAAAAATGTTTATCATTTATTTATTTATTTATTTTACCTTAAATCGTTTGTCTTTGTAGCACAAATTGTATGAGGAGACAGAACTAAATATTTATTTACCCTTATTCCTTTATTAACATTCCAATGTTATTTTATAACTGTAGACTTCCTCTTTAACTTAAAACTCTTTTATTTTTTTTTGGCAACCTCTATAGCCTTGGCCTTGGAATCTAAACCGACGATTAAATTGACCCTGTAACTCTGTGCTGCCTGTTGGAAACCTAGGTCTATTTTGTCCGGCGCCCTGGGGCTTAAAATTGCTACTCTTGGTGACCCTGGAACAGTGTATCCATGGATGGTTTTCCCCTCAGCCCAGACATGAATGTCGATACCTGCATCGTGATGTATAGCAGCCCTTTCTAAAATTGAAGTCATAGCACTTAAGGGATGTGGCAGAAGAGTTCCCCTGTGATGGTTTCCCAGGCATAATATTGTGTATAAAGTTGCATCAGGTACTATAGCAAATAGGATAAAAACTGTTTTAAACGAATTAAATAACGATGATCTAAATGGTTTGTGATCTGGGCTTGACATCGGGTAAACACAAGATTGATTTACGACATTATGCAATATACAGAGGAAAATGATATACTTGGAATGTTATTGATGATTGGTTTTCAAAAGCATTTGATTCTGTGTCTTGGATATTTATAGAAAAAGTTCATCTTTTTGGTAAAAGCATTTTTCACTGGTTTAAAAAATTACATAATAAAGCTCAGTCAGCTGTAAATCGGGGGGGAGGGGGGGGCAGCTTTCTTCTTTCTTTGATATCAAGAGGGGCTGCCGTATATGTTTATTCTTTGTGCAGATGATTTGGCAATAAACTCAAGGAACAATAGAAATATCGAAGGTGTGAGAGTTAAGAACTGTCCTATATTACTACCTCAGTATACGGATTATACTTCGCTTATTCTTGACGGGTCAGAAAAATCAATGCAAGAAAGAGAGCTTAACGAATTTGCAAATATTTCTGGATTAAAAATGAATATTGATAAATCTCAGATGATATGGATTGGTAGTAAAAATTATAGCGAAGATATGCTTTTACCTGAACTTAGCCTACAGTGTGAATTTACATGAAATACCGAAACTTAACTTTGATAAAAAAAACTGATCAAACTTAAATCAATAATAAAAGATGGAACAGAAGATAATTAACTCCAATAGGGAAAATAACATTATAAAGACATTGCTTATATCTCAATTTAACCATCTCTTTATTTCATTACCTAATCCAGATGATAAATTTCTTTACAAATTCAACTCCCTACTTTTTGACTTTTTATGGGATGGAAGACCAGACAAAATCAAACGGGATACAATTATGCAAAACTATGCTAATGGTGGTCTTTAAATGGTCAATCTTGTAGCATTCATAAACTCCTTAAAACTTACTTGAATAAGGAGACTCTACCGGAGTACTGAGAAATGGCAGATAATTCTAAAAACCTATATTGACATTGACCTTCTTGCAAACTGTGGTGATAATTATATTCATCTATGCATAAAAAAGTGCAAAATTAAATTTTGGTATGATTTTTTCAAAGCTTGGCGTACATTTAACACAAAATATGAGGACAAGATATATCAGAGTAATATATTATCTGTTCCAATCTGGTATAACAATAAAATAAAGATAGGAGGTAAAGCTGTATTTTATGAGAACTGGTTTAGGAAGAATATATTAATTATGATTAATCTAATAACCAACAGATGTATTCTCTATGGATTGGACAAATTTATCCAAAAGTATCAAATAGACACATTTTATTTTTACAATACCATGGTCTTGTCTCTGCTGTCAAAAAATATGTTGCATCAAATACTTTCTCTAACACCTCTATAATATATCCCTGCTTACCCATCAATCTAAGAATCATTCTTAGTGACAAAAAAGGGACAAATAGGATTTATAATACTTCAATTAAATGTGACGTGTTACCATCGGGCACCAAAAAAGAAGGAATAGTATATTTGATGATATAGATAAACAAACTTGGGATAATTACTATTGAATGCCATTCTATGTAACAACAAATACAAAACTTCAGTGGTTCCAGTATAGGGTAATCCACCAGGCAACAAACTCACATCTTTTTAAAATTAGAATAGTTATTTCCCGTCTTTGTGTGGTGTGTAACTTGTGCAAGAAACAAGCATTCATCTGCTTTAGGAATGTCAGGAAGTACAAACACTATTACATAGTCTTGATGTTTTATTTAAAGCTCTACTAATCCCTTTCTCTGTTAATAAACTTTTATTTTTGGTTTCCTTCATCAAAACTCCCTTCCTGGTAACCGAGTAGACAATGAAATAATGATTATTATTAAACAGTACATTTACAAGATGAGATGCTTACACCATTCACTAAACTTAAAGGCCCTAATTAATACAATCAAAGATAATTACATGATACACAAAAATATAGCAAATGGTAACAGTGATAAACTAAAACGAAAATTTGAGAATGAGTGAAAAATGGGACAAATTAATAGTTTTGATTAACATACTTCTTTCTATTATCCTTTTTTAAAATTAATATATATTAACATATATATAACAGTCCTTGACAATACTGAGTAATCATGTATAAATCATAGTTTAACATTAAATGTTTGAATTAGTCTCGCTTCTTTTTACCATCTCACCCAGCAATCCTCTCCACTTTTCCTTCCTTCTCTTCAATTTCTATTTCTTTAAGTTTTTTATCCCTTAAGTTTTCTTTTCTCCATTTCTGTATGTGAATGTAGATATATATTCGTGTATGGGTATATCCGTGTGTGCATGGGTGCGTGTTACTAGAAATGTTTGCGATTATAGATATAATTAGATGTGTACATATTTATGGATCAATCTGAGTGTACATGATAATTATGACAGCATCAATTTAAAGTGGATGATGATGATGATGATGATGATGATGATGATGATGATGATGATGATGATGATGATTATAATGATGCATGATGATGGTGATGATGCATTGTGAAGTATGGACGATGCTGCTGCTGCTGCTGCTGCTGCTGCTGCTGATGATGATGATGATGATGATGATGATGATGATGATGATGATGATGATGATGACGTTTGCTTTTGTATGTATTGTTATTGTGTATGATGATCATGTTATTGATGGTGATCACGAAATATGATGATGTGAATGGTAAGAATGATTATCATGAATGATGGTGATGATGATGATGATGATGATGATGATGATGATGATGATGATGTCAAAGTTTGCTGAATGTATGATTACAAATAATCTTGTTTTGTAAGACATGCAATGACCAAATACATATTTGCACTAGTGTGTTGATGCGTGAGGGTGCGTGTGTGTGTATATCATATCTACCATGTAAAATCTTGGAAAAATAAAAACAATCATAAAAAAAAATTAAATAATAAACTGCCAAATTATAACCATTATACTTACTGATACAGTGTTCTTGTGAATGTTTGTTGTAAATAAGGTCTAATGGCGAGTGAGCTGTCGATTGTTTACAAGTAATTAACAATCACACAGTTATTAATTAGAACACCGACTCATTTGTTGTCTATTACAATAGAATATTATTTGCTGTCTTCAGAGTTATCTATATTGGTTATTTCGTATTAGGCTCGTTCACTATGCCTTAATGCCATTCTCAAAATGAAGTCTTTGCTTGCCTTAAAACTCTGACGCTACATTATCTATGTATTTCCATAAATAGTCACAAGGCCAGTTTCATACCAGCTGTTTTTCATTTTGGAATCCCATTGGCTATATCCCATGTCCATTCTTTCGTCGTCCCTTTTAGAATGACAAACATGGCGATGTGTAACATATGGCTTCTGCTAGTGTCCTTGACGGTATTGACTGTATCCATGCAATTTGTATCAGGAAGCTGTAAGTATCAATCAAAACGATGTAACCATGGGCTTGTTTAATTGGTCATTAACAACGATAAGTCTCAATGAACCGAATGAAGGTATTTGGGTACAACGCTGCCTGATTGAAAAGTATGGTAATCGATTGAACCCTTTAACACGTTTCTATAAGTATTTCCGCGGCTTTTTGTTTTACAGAATTCTTGTATCATATATACGAATAGAATGCATTGACATCGTTGATCAGATTAATTATTACACTGTAAAAAATTTAAAATTTTCCTCCCGTGGGAAGTAAGGGGAATTTGGAGTTTATCACATAGTTATTAATTTATTAATTATATATCAGAATAAGTATCCCAAAAAAGGTTAAGAGTTCCTTTTAAACCCCCCACCCAAAGTGGCTACCAATGGGTTATTATGCATGGTAAATATAATACAAGTGTCTGAAAGAGTTTATTTTAAGGGTTATCAAGAAAATCAAATGTTAAATATCGTACTCACCTACTGACATGAATAGACTTATCATAATACTTATTATAGCCTTCTGGTAGTCATTTTGGGTGGGGGTTCAAAAGGAGCTCTTTCCAAAACAAAAACCACTAGAGTACAGGCAAGGATTCAGAAAAATTATTATCGGTGACATTGACTCTGCATCAATAGAATTCGAACTTGTCTGAGATACTACGGGCCTTTACTTTTTGATTTACTAAAAGTAACATTAGTGACTTTGACCTAACAATACTAAAATTCCTGTTTCAATTATCATCAATAAGTTGACGTGATTTTTATAAAAAAATGAACAAAAACCAAAAAAAACAAAAACAACAACAAACAAAGCAAAACAAATCTATAACTTCAAAACCTGAACTTGCCTGAGATTAAACGAACTGTTATAAGTTTGAAGAAAAATTCATCAAGAAATGAAATTTTGAAAGCACTGACTATGATTTTGTAAGAATAGAATTGGTGACCTTGGTACTTAAACTCATCAGAGATAAAGGGGTGTGAAGTGTGATCCAATTCCATCCTGGAATAAACTGCTACAAGGCTGACAAATTATAATATGTCCATGCAGAACAAATTATAATATGTTCTTTATAGCATCTGGCTTAGTTACTCTAATCGATATATGATACTACTCACGTTTTCGTATGAATCACATATACTGTAGCATATCTCAATATTATTTCTTTAGGTTGTGTCTCAATCATAGTGGGAAACGTAACTGATCTTTGAGTTCATCAGCAAGCAAAATATTCCCGAAAGGGTAACCTTTGCAATTAGAACTATTTACCGAAGCCAAGCTGATCAAATATCATGACACCCATGAATATTAATTACAACTGCGTGCCCCAAACGAGATTGATTATCCGGTTTTGTGGGGTAACTTTCCACTAGAGCTGGTGTTCACGGAGCGTCTATAGCTGAAAATTTCTGTCGGATAAAGCTGACGGCAGCATGTCCCATACATGCTCAATAGGATTTGTATAACCGGCTAACAGGCTGACCAATCGGTGGATAATATCTGGCTATAGATACTGTTCATCGCTGAGAAATTTCATTCGTGAATACTTTGTTTCGCGAATTTACCTCTTCCGGCATATTCACGAATACATGATGTCGCAAACGCTAATCTAAAAATGCATTTAATTCAAATGTTTGATACACGTTCGTTTGTCTGTTGGTTTTCTTTACTCTATTAAGGTGTCATCTGTGTAAATTCTTTATTTCTTCATGTTTTGCCCTAATGTTATTGTATATGGGTTCGGGTTAACATTGTGTTGACATGTTGGTATCATCGTGTATGGTTTTTGATAAACGATTCATGAAATACTAGAGATATGGACTCTGCGAGGCTCATTTATCGGTATCCAAGTCAATATGGATATCAACCAGAATCATTTCCAAACATTTAAATTTAAATTAGAGACTGAATGAACCCTCACCATGTCAGTCTGCCTGAATAACCTCCCCAGGTTGTCTCAATACTCTACAGCGGATGTAGTGGATATATGATCGGGACTTTTCCATTGCCGAAATGCTGGTGTAATTGAACTATAAGACGGTTCCGAAATATCTGACGGCTTCCTGGCCACCAGAGGTATAATGGTATTGTGGAGCATATGACGCAATACCGGTATGACTAAATGGGACGGAGTTCTGCGTCGTTACCTTTAACCGACTTCTTGTATGGTATATGGAATAATTTTCTTTAGTTTGGAAACGATTAACATAACACATTAATACAACAGTTTGTGACGCGTCAATGTCTGGTGAAACATGGTGAAATATGGTGAAACATGGTGAAACAAGCTAACAGGCGGCAGTCTGATGCCCTTATTCAATTAACCGTATCTGATTCGCCTTATGAAAACAAAACCAAGCAAATTATACGAATGAATGTTATATTCGTATCATAATAAGACATTACACTTCGTAGCTACCTTTTAAAAAGGGATGCTTCACGAGCCTTTATGGTTGACTGAACAAGACCACGAGGAACGATTTTGAAGGCTGATATGTTCACCAAACATTGAACGGAAGGAAATATAACATCATAACTAAAATTCAAATATCTTTCCCTACATATAGGTGACTGTAGCAAAATGAGAGTAGTATATTGATTAGGTTATTAGGTAGTGTTTAACAGACTAGCTATACGTTTTATTAGTCTTCACCTTTTCAATATATTTATCCTTATTTTTGTCATCTCGGTATTTATTTAGTTTTAGCATAAATTATCCTATATGATAAACACACACATATAAAAATGTGTTATGAAACAAGCTGATGTTGAATCCACCTAATCCACCTGTCTCCATTATACAAAGCCGAATGCCCGACACAAAATCCCAACGTCGTATGGGGCTGTGCCTACCAGCCTCACTGTTTCAGTGACAGTGGATGCGGAAGTGGACACAAATGCTGCCCTCACACTTGTGGTGCATTTTGCTACGACACGTCTACAGGTATGGATACAAATTGTGTTTATAAATTGAGTAAAATGTTCAAAGGAAAACTGTACCTCATTCAATGTAATTTTTAAATGTTTGTCAGATTACAGAGACTGTTACATTGGCTGAATTGCAAAATCATGTTATTTTAAGAAGCTATATAAAGCCTTCTCAAATATTCCTGTATTTGGTTTTCAATACAGAAAAAAAACGTTGATCTGATCGTAATGGTAAATATGACAAAGATAGGCAAAAATTATAATCTATTTTAGGGACATTTAATGAAGCTATGACCAAAGAACTATTTACAATTTTATAATTGTACGAGGAAACGCTATCATATCTGATCGATATGGAAAGTGAATTATTTAAAATGAAATAGTAAATTCACACAAATTGTTTGTTATTTGTTAGAGAGGTTATCTATTTTACTTTTAGCAACACACGTTACCTCAGCCCCAGATGGCGATTGTCACAGTGTAAGTATAAACTTCTCCTTATCTTAAGTATGAAATCCTGTCTATGCCAGTCGCTAAGCCATTGTCGTTATTCGTGTAATACTATATGAATGAGTCCTTTCAATTCCACTTTTTTCCGCTTCATTTTTTATTAATATTTCAGCAATTTATGCTGCACTTCTTTAAGTCATTTTACCTTTAGTTAATGACTTTATACCTCGTGTTTTCAGTATCAATATTTCAATACGTTCATAACCTGATGGAAGTTTCAAGATTGTATTGAAAACCATACTAGTTTGTAGGTTAGGACAAACATCGTTGTTTAAAAGAGTATATTCTCAATTAGGATAAATCTTATTCTAATAACGAAATTAACACACGATATCTATTTACAAGTAAAAAAAAATATAACCAAAAATTGGTTCAGGTTCTTTAAGTGGGGATATGCACATTAAATATTGATTATAGGCACTACGTCAAACAAGTCACATTTATTTTTTGTTGAATTTCTTCAAAATGTTAAAACAAGAAAATAGTTATTTCGTAAATTAAAATGAACAATACAAATATGTTATTTAAGTATATTTCCTATACTATCAGTGATTATAATACAATTATCACCTATTTAAACGATGTAAATACTAAATGAACATTTCTTTTCTGTTGTATTTTATCTAACAGTTAAGCTGCCTGCTCGGTGAAATAATTGGACGGAAAAAGTGATATCTGTGGTTCGAATTATCATGTTCTATAAAATATAGATACACAACCCTTCAGAAAATCTTTGTTTTTCTTATTGTTTGTTATATTTTTCCGGGCACTTGTTATCATATGCAGGAAAATAAATCATATTTCACAAATTACATTCAACAGTCCAATCTTATTGTTACGACAGTATTAAATACTCATTATAACAAGTTTGATAACTTTACATTCGATATTTTCCACAGCCATGTATCTTACGTGTTGTATAATTAAAAAAATAATAATATGTAAACCATGTGACCGTATTTGAATTCGAGTTTTTAATCCATTCACATGTATAAAAGACTAGTACATTATATATACCAAGTCATTCACATTTAAATTACCTAATCCTTTTAAACATTTACTATCCTAGAAACGATCTTGTTATTCTGATTTGAGCGTTTACGATATGGATCGTGAAAATCATGCTGTGCAGTCATGCAGTATGTTGACAAACAAAACGCTTCTGTGTTGACTCAGTGACGTGGTTATTTGATACGTAAATATACTAAATTGAAGATGTGAAACTGATCACATTTGAAATAGATCATGTTTGATTAAAATTGACTTTCTGGCCAAAATAGGAATATGTTTCATCAATTGCACTGACCCATTTTTTCGTCAAAAGTGCTGCTTTTGTTTGTTTCAAGCAAACAAACAAAAAAAACGCAAAAAACCAAGCAAACAAACAAAGAAAAACAACCAACAACCTATTTCTATCAATTTATTAGGGGGTTTGTTTGCAAAAATATCAAATTGGTATTTGCTAATTCATATGAAATACTGGATTGATCTTTGATCTCAGATTTCATATATTTATTTTCGATTGTGCCTTTGTTGTACATTTTTTTTTTGTTACAGATGAGAAAAACAAATCAGCTGATAGGCTATTTACTGTTGTTATTTCTTGAAAAGTGCTGTATGGTTCTAATCATATCAAATTTCAAACTATTCAGTTCCCCCTTTATAACTGTACCGTATCGATATTGCGACGGATGAGTAAAAAATAAAATGGTTGACAGCTGCCATCTTTTATTTTAACAATGAATGTTCCTTGAATGATTCTTGCCGATTCCCTTGATAACTAGCTCTGCATTTTATTATGTGACTGAGCAGGAAAAAAACATTACTGCAAACTAAAAAAAGACTATCAAGATCGATGGGATATTGATTATACAAATATATCAAGATTAAAAGATAGATAAAAAGATCAAGCTTTTTCAAGCAAAAGAACAAACTTTGTTCCCATTCATCCAAGCAAAACATCCTGGGGACTACTGATTATTCAAAAGATGCTTATAACAGATTTGGAAGTGGCTATATGTAATTCATTTGGGTGTCCATCTAACATTCACTAGGTCTTTTGGTTATTTGATAAATCGTGTGCAATATTTTGACACATTGACTTCATATACCATGGAAAGTTTCTCGATGCCATTCAATTGAACAAGCTTTACAAAAACTTTCTTTGCTTATATGTGCAGCTGACATATTGTATTCCTCAGTCAAATTGAAACAAACTTTTATGACTTGACAATCGAGATGTTTGTTTTTGCTTGCTTGTTTTGCTTTTGGTTTTGTTCAAATGAAATGACACGACTACTTACTAGTTTCTTATCCATAACGAACTATTTTCACATTACGACAATAATCCATGCGTTCAATACAAATTTGTAATAATTCTAACTTTATTACTATTTGTTACCTTTTCAGAGACTAAGTAAAGGAATTCCGTCAATAATTGAAACATTCTTAAAGTAATTAATTACAATGGTAAGGACCCTATAGTGTTTTAAAGCATATTTACCAGATATGGTGATAGACTGTCGAAAATAATGCTTTACTGATTCTGTGACTTTATGAAGGAAAAACAGCAAATGTGATTTATAGTATTACCGTATTAGCAGAACAATATAGAGTAATCGTCTAAACAAAATGGGCCTGCTTCGCACATCTGGTATTTAATGTATTCCAATATCCGTGGGTAACTTTCTCATTTTGATTGCATTAAAATCCATAACAAGATGAAGTTACGATAAAAAAACAATGATCCCATTTACATGAACTATATACATCTTTGATAAATCAAGTAGCAATGCATTATATCGGAGCTATCGGAACACGTTAGAAACAATTTTTCTACAGAACTGTCGCTATTAAAGTATCATCATTCTTTTGGGCAAATTGTTGCTTGCGTCGACCATCCATGTCATCTATGTTGTCAGGCAATGAGGTGTTGAGGGTCTCTGGCAGGAAACACGACACGATCCCTGCTGCCAAAGTCAACACTCCGAATATCAGGGATGTATATCCAAGCCCTCCTCCTTTGTTAGTACCCTACAATAATTGCCAAATAATGACAGTTATTCAAAAGAAGTTTCAGTACAGACTAATTAGATTTTATGACATAGGCATGGGTGTTAAAGAGCTGTTCAAAAAATGATTCAATCGAATAACTCAGTTTTTTTATAATCATTACCTCTTTCTATAGATAATTAAATAAAGGTACAACACATATTAACATTTAAGTAAAGGCAATAATATTTGTATTTAAAACAACACCAAACAAACAAAAAAGACTTTGAAATAGCACAGCCAATCAGTAATTAATTTATTTGCTATTAGGGATATTGCAAATAAAATCCTCACCGACTCTGTAAGATAAGGAGATATAATAGCTCCAGTCCGAGTAGCTACATTTGTACAGGCAAGTATAAAACTTCTTATTGTCGTAGGGAACAGTTCTCCAGTATACACAAAGGCATTGGCAAACGTTGCAGATACACCCATCCTGCCTATCGCTGACAAAACGATAATCAGCCAGTCGTTGTCTGAAAAGTAAATATTTGAATCAACGTAATGATGTCACTATTCATTACATTACAACAACAAGTAGATTAATTTGTATGAAGACGTTTTTGCATTTAATTCCACATAAAACATGCATATTACAAGGATGCAAAATGTGATAGATGATTATGAGGTTAATCAAGTTGCGAAGGGATGCTAATTCGTTATTGCTAACATATTTGGTCTTGAAAGTTGGGAGTAATGGCTTTACCTGCTGTCACAAATGTATGGTCTATAAGTCCATATATGTGGTGGAACTCTCGGTGCTTCCAGGAATTTTGGATCTTTCTGAACAACTATTTTTTCCTTATGTCTACAGTGAAATAGCCTCACTTTTGGCATTATCCGAGTTGCCTCCAAACCAGAATTAAAGATTTAGAGTTGTGTTCCCCTTGCCGATTTATGCCAGGCTTTAAAATGGTTAACGAACGGGATTGTGGTAAAGTAACTACTAGTGTGCTTGTGGAGGGTTTTATTTGAACACCATGGGAGTCCTAAAGTATATTCTGTACCGTGCCACAAGCCGAATGAATTAAAATGGTGCCGGCAACCTACCTCCATCTGCATATCGTGAGATCAAAGTAGAGGAAATACATGCTACACCGGCCAGTAGAAAAGCACCAATGTTCAGTGGCTTGCGTCCAAGTCTTGTATTGATGAAGAGACACGAGACATAGGCGACCATTTCCAACACGGCGTAGATGATGAATTCTAAGTAAGCATTGTTACCTATGCGTCCCACATTGAAAGTCAGACCATAGTAAGACAGGGACAAGATAAACCTGCAATGACGGCAAAGATTTTGAAAAATCAATATCGTAAATTTGTAAAGAATAGTTTATATTCTTAACGATCAATTAACACAGAAAATGACAGTAGGGTCAATTAAGGGTCTATAAAATCTAAGAAAAGAACATTAGACAAATTAAAATGTAGAAGATGATCTACAGACATAACATGCTGAAAGACAGGCAAAAAGATCGCCATCACACTTATATTGTTAAAACATGGGGAGATAATACATGTTTGGTACCGATTTTGCTGAACAGTTAGTCTAAGTTCTTATCTTCTACAAACTGGAAATGCTATGTCAACTGTTAAAGATGACATTTAAAACCATCGAGCAACACTAATACGGCAATGGCCATTATTCAGTAATGTCAATCATTACACATGTTTCGGTTCAATTCTCATGCTTCATATACAACCAAATTCGTTATGCTCCACTTTACACTTTTTTTGTAGTAGATACATTTAATAAACGAATAGTGTAAATATGCTTATAATCGAAGTACTTACCAGAGCATTGCAATTACCATGAACCGAACGAACAGTCTGCATGATTGAAATAAAGGTAATAATTCATTCCAGCTCTTTCGTTGTTCAAGCTTTACTTCTTTTGCATCTATATGGGGTTGTCTTTTATTCATATAAGCAGCGCGCTGTACTATTTTCATTGCCTTCACCCCTTTTCCTTTAGACAACAGCCATCTTGCGGACTCTGGTACAAACCTTGAAATGATGTTTTGAAAGAAAATGACAAATTTAATTCCAGTCGAGGCCTTACGACATATTGATCCCTTAACAAAGTCATATATATATATATTCTTTTTTTTCTACCTTTATGCTTCAAAATAACACAGTTAGCAATCGGTCAATCTGGCTGTATCGGTATCTAAATTAAGCCTATCAGGAATGTATAAATATATTATTTACACTTACAACCAGTAGAGAAGTAATATTCCTCCAGGACAAGAGATTGCAATCTGTAGACTTCGCCAGTCTCGGATGAAGTAAGCGGCGCCACTTAAAATGATTTCCCCCAAACACCAAGACACTTCCACAGCAACAGTTGCGTGAGATCTGTGAGCCGGGTCAACCGTTTCGAACACTGTAGCAATAAGTATGCCATTAAACAAATTACCAAAATATACATTTACTGATCTTTTTAATCAACATAAGTTTCATTTCACACTGATATTAATCATGAGGGAGATTTCTACTTTTTCCGTGTATTTGATACCTGAATGAAGAATGGAAGAAAAGAGAAGAAATTAGAATATATTCAATTCATCTTTCAAGACTGAGACAACCTTTATTGTCTATTTTTCTATCCTGAAAACGTATTTGCTAGGTTTTTTCGTTTTTTTAATGTTCTGACTTACTTATTATCATAAGAGAACCGATACCGCTTGTAGTTGCCGCCCCTGCGATGAATCGAAGAACCACAAAAAATATGAAGCTATTTGCCCATGCACATCCAAGAGAGGACCCAAAAAGTAATACTGCGCCAATGTACATCACAATCTTCCGACCCCATCTAAAATATAATTGTATAATTATGTGCCTGGATTGATGTCATGATACACTGTCCAGGTTACGACATTTTAATCTGAAAGCACTATAAAAACGCCCATTGGTTGGGGAACAATCTGTGAACTTCATCCTCATGTGATCATTGCTACTTCGAACCACCATACAACCATTCCGAAATAAAACTCGACAGGTCAAGACGTTTTCTTTCGGATTACAAATAGATTCTTCAAGGCAGGCGGGAAAGATGACAAAAGATTAAAAATGATTTTGTAATTTTGATTGTTGAATTGCAAAGACAAAGCGATACCATCACGAAACAAATGGAAAAAAATTTCCAGAGCCTTCATAAAGTCACTTGTTGAAGAATTTCTAGAGCGTATCTCAAAAGCTATTTCAAATAGTTCCACGAAATTCTTACACAAATAAATCGAGTGTTTCAATTGTGCATTGTGCTATGGAGGAGTTTTCAGTTTTGATATTTCTTTTGGCTACTATGGAAATTGTGCCTGCGTATATATTATTTAAATAAATAAAGCCCCAAACGGTTCCCTTGCCAACGACTACACTTTGTATCTAATAAGTATCTTAATGCTTATCCATATACAATATATCTACGGATTACACATTTTTGTGTAATGGACGCTCCCAAAAATGTTTTTTTCAAAACATTCGCTTACAATGAGTGGCTTTATCAATTAAGAAGAAGGTATAGACCTATCAATAGTTAATAATGGTGCCATTTGTTTCAAATGATTTAATCGCTATGAAAGGAAGTTGGTGTCAGAGAGGTCTCAACCGGTCCGAATCCTCCAGATATACTGGAAGCTGATGAACCCTGTACGAATGAATGCTTGCTCAGTTTGTTCTTTGGACAGTAGGTTACGTAATATCCTGCCCTGCTACCTATCCTCCTTTTGGGTCACCCAGATCAAACAGATTAATGGACAGAGAACAGAAAAGCAATTAAACACACACGTACACCGGCAACTTATTCCGTTTACTTATAAGATATTAAAGTATAATTCACGTGAATGGGTAACATAACCTTTGCAATGTGAATACTTCTAATACCATAACATTGTGGTCTTGTACCAGGTACGTCCTTTTCTCTACTGTAAATAACATTAATCAAATCTGAAATACCTCTGTATTATAACCTGTATATGATATTATGTCTTGTACATGTAAACCATTTGTATTGTCAAGTTAGTGTCGATTTTAAAGGTATATTTCTCGTGAAAGGGAATTTAGGTATGTTTGACATCGTTCCTGTAACTACACATTGCCAGTATTTCTAGAGCTGGGAAACTATCGTCCCGATTTTTATCGGAAATTGCTTGATGACAGATGTACAGAGTATACATATTACCTATTTTCTAAATGGCTCTAAATGACGGACAAAGTTTTGGACATGATAATTTGATGTCTAAGACTTCAAAATTGAGATTTTATGAACTGTAAAACACTTCATTTTTCACCCCCATTTTGACTTATGGGCAAAGTTATCATTCCGAAAAATTAATTATTGAATTGGAAATTAACCAACCTCATACAAATCTGAAGTGAAACAACGCAAATGGTAGACAAGCGGTGTCTTTGTAGCAATTAATGAAATGTAATGAAAAAGGTGGATAATAGACACTATGGATGTTTTACCTTTGTACAACTGAAAAACAAAACAATATGTTTTAGTGCACCTTAAAATATTACGAAGATTTAATACAGTCGGGCGACGGCTGTTCTTTGAAATCTCACCTTTGAAAAAGATCCATCTAGAATGTTTTTAGAAATAGCAACAAGAAATATTTTAAAACAAATGTACGGGCCACGGATAAAGAATTATTTGAACAACCCTACATCACATTATAAACTACAACTCTATAAGATAGAGTTCACAAGCTGAGATAGCGGCCTCCCAAATAAACACTCGCATCATATACAATACATAAGAGACCGTCTTTTTAAGTACATACATGCTAATAGAATGTTCAACAACATAAAACCAATATCTTTCTGCATCATAGAGACGGTCACGGATGAATCACATTAGAATTAAATCGCTCATAATCGACTACACTTGCAAACGTTAATCGAAAGCTTTTATATACTTACGTATCCCCAATGAATCCAAGAATGAAGGATCCGAACAGGTTACCGCCCATAAACGCCATACTGGCGTGCTGTTTAAGTATGGAATCGTCACACACCATTTCAAACTATAGGATAAGAATCGGATAATTAAATCAATTTGTTCGACGTGTATTCAGATTGTTCATGTGTGAAAAATAAAACAATTCTACAAGACTGTATTTTTACATTGCTACATATTCTAAATATAGATTATGTTCTGCCGTCGTCGATTCTTTTTAACACTAAGAGGCACGTTGATCAGTTTTTGTTGCATGACACTCATATATGCAATAATTGACTTTATGGTTTAGTGTTATTTTCATGTATAATAGTGTAAGCATAGAAACAGTATCAAATAATGTTAGCATAGAAATGGGTACGTTTTGAACGGGAGTGGTACTATAACTAACAAATAACAATGTAACAATACATTAGGACATAATTTTTGTAACGTTGTAATTTTTAGAACGACTAGCTTTTTGATTGTTGTAATAAAACACACAACATTTCTATGAAACATAATACAATTATTGTGATCCAAATTTTAAATAGAGGAATTTATGTGAATAAATAAATATAATACAAATTAATTAACATAAAAAATCAACTAATTAGAAGACAGTTCGTAACGACAAACCAAGCGCATGAGAGAAGTGTGTAGCTATTATACATGTAGTTGATAAATGACTTTTTATACTGTAATGTTATTATAGAAACAAAACAAACAAATCTCTTTAGAGATAAAATTATAAAATTAGTTAATTCACTCCTCATACGTATTTGTTGATTGTGAATCCATGACTACACAAGTTAGCATGATATATCCAAGCATGAAAGATTTACGTTCCATAAACCGCACATAATGTGAGTTCATGCGCTGAAACAAATCTAACTTTTCTCTGAAAATTTATAGATTGGACGAGAAACACATGACAAAAGAATTAGTCAGGAATAATTGGCGGCTTTAAGTGTTATTTGCGTTTTTATATTCATAAAACAGCATTAGCTGACAGAGCAGGGCGTCATGCTTTCCTGACCAACTTATAAGACTTTAGTGTGATCGCACTATAGAAACACCAATGAATGATAAGATCATCTTCCAACAAACATTCATATTAAGACGGTGATAATGGCTCACTTTCATTTAAACATTGCTTTAACATAACATTGTAGAAAAATAAAGCCATCCTTAAACACACCATCTTCACACTACAATCGCTTTTGTGATGATATAAAACAACCAACAAATGCTTAAAAATAGAGAAAGATAACTATACATCAGATATAGGGGAACTGGTGAGCTCACTGGTGTTGAAGGACCAGGCCGTGCACTCTTCTGTCTCTGTTATATTAGTATTATTGTAGAACACTTCCAATGAGCATTGTGAAAAGTACGCATTGTTGATCTCCACGTAGCTTATATTATCAGCATTTTTATAGACGGTTCTCTTTACTCCTCGATAGCACCTGTTAATGTAAAACTATGATATTAATATCAAAAAATTAATTTTAAAAAATGCCAACATGTCAAAAACCCAAATTCAATTTCCATAACGTAAGGGCAAATATGAATAAAAGAAAGATTTACACGGAGCCACAGAAAAAAATACAAGGAGAATATGACCAGCTGTTCCGGAAGAGTAAGTTTGTTTTTCTTCCTCGACGACACCCGCCATGTAGACCTTGGTCTACGCAAGTAAGTGTCAGCATATGGTGCAAACAGTGCCAAGTAGTCTGAGTAAGTGTTCCTCTGGTTGTCTACGGTAGGATGTGCTCAGTGTGGAGTCAATTGTACGGTAGCAAATGTTTTCAAAAATATATTATTAAATACTGTAATACAAAATGTCTATGCTTGTTCATTAAGACATTGACAGAAATGAAACTGTTCATGGCGGTTTGGTTGGCATCTATATTTCAGAATGTAATGCACGATAACGTAAAAACATCGATTGTAAATTTGCTTTTGGATATTATGGTAGATTAACAATATATTCCAAATGTTGGTGCCCACCATGATGCTCTAAATTCACTATTTGGTAGATGATTGTTTCTTTGTTCATTTCTATATTGTTGATTTCAGATGAAATGCCATCTGTAATAGTGTTACTGTTAACAGTTTTCAAGGGTTTTAAACAGTTCAATAAAATGCAATACCTTTGATGCAACATTTCCTTTTACAAACTTTTACTACATGAGTATTTATACTACTAAGCAACGGATGTAGTTGTATGTCTGATGATGCTGAACCGAAACACGACATCTGAAAGATGGCATTTTATTTTATTTTCTGAGCCAGTAATATGTCTCCATTCAAACATTGATGACTTAAAATATCCTCAGTGCTTCAGATCTAAGCATGTTGCAGATAACAGCAGGTAAGTTTATATGAATTAGCTGATATTGTCAACATGTCAACAGAGTCTTAATTCAAAATCATTCGATTAAAGAAGGGCAAAATATAAACGAAAGAATGATAGATTATGAAAAAAGTACTAGTTTGATAAGAGCACGTGTTCCAGAAGGGTGAGAGTTCTCCGATTTATCGACGACGCCTGCCATGCAAATCTTAGTTAATACAATAAAGTAATGTCGCGTTCCAAATTAGAAACATCGAGTACACAAACGAGCACCAAGCACGCGACGATATTTGAGTTTCTATCCAGAAATGGAATGAAATTGAAATCATAATTAGCATTAGCTTGTTTTAAAGCCATAGATTGGGGACTATTGGATGTTGGTATGTAGCAAATTTACAATCGGGTAGTTAAAACCATCGCGCTTTTCATACTGCCTGGTGGTAAGCTTTCCGTTTTAGTGTCGTTGTAGAAAAAGATCGAGGAAAGGGACTGATGTAGATGAATCTGTCGCGTCATTGGCGTCCAATTCTTGTGGTATATGTAATGGACATAGTCATTGAACATCATGAGACACACTGCAATGTCTTTGTGGTATGTTTTGACAAGCTTTTCTAAATATTCATTCTCGTATAAAAAAAAGGTAAGAGGGCGATGCCCATGGTCTGTTGGCAGATATTATCACCACGTTCGATCCTTTCAACACATTTGCTAATCTCCTCTTTGATTTGAACTTTTCTTCGGAGATCTATTGATATATGAAAGATTAAAATGTTCCTACTAAAATGTGTTTAGAGGACTATCCAAAAGCTCGTTGTAGTTCTTTGAAATCCACAAACCATTATTTCACTTCCTCAGTCAACAATACGACGGTATATTGGACAGTACTGAGCATGACAGTAAGACATATTGATAAAGGTTTGGTTGAACAACTATATGGGTTTTTGGTATAGATACGGAAGGGAAATATGTTGAAAAATAAGGCAATGTATCCGCCAAAATTCAAGTGCGTTATTTAAAATGGCACAAATGATATATCATCGTTAGTTTGTGTGTGTGTTGACGTGTTATATTTCTCGACAATCTGACAAATCGAATTAGATGGAGGTTATGGTTTATAATAAGTTCTCTGTATCAATACAATTTCCATTTGTATTCTCGTCTGTCAATTTGATGTCAAGTTTTGAAATGCTTTTGTATCATGCATTTCCTAGTTTCTTTCGATCACGTAGCAGATTTCGTTTACCTCAGCAAACAAATGTTATATCCCTTGGTGTTTTGTTCGAGCATCGTTTCTATAGAAAGCTATTCATAGGTAATAGGAAATGAAAGAAGAACTGCATCAGCATATTGTTTAGATTTAAGTTTTTCGTTTAATTTCATTTAAACAATTCATTTGTTGGCATGATATTCCTTGTGTTCATTGTTAATTTAAAAAATGCAATTGAATACAATATCGTGATAACACTAATAGAAATGTATAATGTTATCGTTCCAGCCAAAATGTAATAGACAGTTTCGAGAAAGGAATTAATGTGAAATCGTTCATGTTTACTGTAAAATGGACTGGTGAACATGAAAAAAATTTCGTTATGATATTTTTTGACAGAAGACTTACTTGTGGTCATGCTTCGACAGGATAAACACTGGTACTAGCGCTTGCATAGATATTATGATCTGCATAAATATCGCCAAAATCACGAGGGCTTTCTGGTATCTGCCGAATCCTCCGATTTCCTTTACAATGTCATCAAACTGCATGATGACGCTATGATTTTTCTCTGGTGAAGTCTGTCAGAAATGCGTGATGCGTATCATAACTGTAATACAGACAAGGTAAAAGATACGTTAGGCTTATGTATACGTGTATTATGGACTAAATAAAAGTATTTACATATGTTACAATACAAAGGAGATCTAGCTGATAATATTCTTGTTGCTAAGTGAAACAGGAAGGCTATGGGCATCAACGCTCACCTTATCAGACAATTATTTTCATTGCTCGTAACAGCTGTGTATATTTTTCATTTGTCATGTTATTAGAAAGTAAAAGTATGTCAAAGAAAAATATAAAGGTCACCATTGGTCACTGGTCAAATAAGTAATCAATATCAATCGCCATTGAGTACTTTCCTCGTACACATATCATTACAATGTTCAGTTATGGCAAAGGTCACTATATAGATCACCAAAGGTCAAAGGTCAAATAAAACATCAATTTCAATCACTGCCGTATACTTTTCATTTGCACCTTTTATTGATTGTTTGATAGTGACAAAAGTCATCACATAAGTCAACAGAGGTAGCATGTCAACCCAATTATCTGCTATAAATTGTTTTCTGTTCCAACATACTTTTGGCATACCTATGGAAATTTGTCCGTTTCCCTATGTTGCCCGACTTGATATTCATCTCTTACGAGGCTGAATTTATCGACGACCTGATCACAACATGTCATAGAGACCTTGCAAAGTCGTTTGAACGCACTCTCAGATATACAAATGCCGTCTTGTCTTTAAATAACATAAGATACGTCCATCGTATATACCCACCACAATTGAAAATCCAGGCCACGACAGAATTTTTTAAATCAATCCCTTGTCTCGATCTTTTCCTACAACAAAACCAACATGGATCGGTTTCTACAAAAGCTGTTTGATAAAGGTAATAATTTCAATTTCCCTATC